CCACCAAGTCTGCACTGTAAGGTGGATGGGGTAAGATAATGAGATTCAACTTTGCAATTGCCTTCTGGGTGGATTGTGAGGTACAAGGCTTAACTTTGTCATGTTGCAGCAACATTTTCTTCTTGCGCTTCTTAATGCTGCTTAATTGTTTTTTCAAAGTTTTAAAAGTTGCAGTGTAGCCATGGTGGTGGTGCCAGATTCAAGGAAATCCATGTGAATAGCTACCTAGGTCTCAAAAACTTAACCATGAGTTTTCCTGCTGAAGCCTGGGGTTTTGAATTTTGTTTTGCAAGAGAAGCTTTGTGATAATATTCCATGGACTGACACTTCATTTCTGGGTCATAATGATGAGCCTATGCTTCATTAGCTGTCACAATCCTTACCTTCATTCTCATAGCACAACAACAATTACTGGCAAATTTCAACCTCTGAAACTTTCATGTCGTCAGTTTGCAACAAACCAATCTTGCACAAACCTTCTGATAGGGAAGAACATCAATGTGATCCACATGTTCCTGTGAAATATCAAGCTTCCTAGCAATTTCCTTTTGAATGATCCACTAATTGTCCTTAATCAGTTCATCAACCTTCCTTGGGGCAAATTCATCAGTTGCTATCACAGATTGTCTACTTCATTCTTGTTCACACAAATCAGCTCTTCCTGGTTTATCTTTATATATTTTTTGGCCCAGCGACACACAGTACACATGCCAACATCATCATCATAAATAACTTGCATTCTGTGGTAAATTTCAATTAGAAAGACTCTGACAGTCAAAGATTAAATCATGGCATGTTCCTTAAAGCATAATGACAAGTTATTGCAGGCTTCCATTTCACAAACAATAGCAATACAGTTGTTTCTCACAACTTCTCATCAACTCAAATGAAAGAACAGATACCAAAGAACATGTCAGAGTTGTTAGCACATCAGTACTGCCATCTGTTGGCAATTTGCAACATCGGAGGCATTACTTTTCACTCAGCCCTTGTAAAACATTTACATGGGGGGGATGTCACATGGATTGTTATTATTTTAGCCCCAACATGTATTCACACAGACAGAGGCATATACAGAAAATCAAGTGTGTGAAGAATTCCCTACTTGCCACTCCCTAGGATAATCACAGTAAACCTGCTCTTCCAATGAGGATTCAGGTTTTAAAGGTCAAGGATATTCAGAATATTTTTATTTCCCCAATGGATAGAAACAGTGGTTTATTCTAATGTTTCTAGCAGAGTTTGATTTCACAGCCCTCTTTCAGCATAATCTTTCCTATTCATTCCTAAAGAAACTGCAGCATTTCAGTGTCATTTTTAAAAAGGCTGTGCTGGGTAGCTGGGGCTATGTAGCAATTTGTTGTTTATAACTCATGTGCCATTTTAAGGTTTGTGGCTGCAATCCAGAAACCACTAACTACAAATAATCCAGATGGCTTCACTGGTGAATAGCTTGTTTCAAACTTGCATATTTGTAGAACTGCTGTTAAGCCTAATAATTAAAACCTGTTTCATAAGCAAAATGTACAGAGATGTCTAGGAATGGCTCAATACTATATATCTGAAATGGGTTGAAATTGTTTTCTAATATATCATAAATTTGATCTGAGCAACATGCTGGGGCTTGCATTCCAGTAAATGGATGGGGCCAAGACAAAGAAATAGGTAGGGATTAGTCAAAAACTCGATTTAATTTACTTTAAATTAGAGCAAAAAGGCCAGTATGCAGACACAGTTCATTTGATGTACTCCCCATATATTTAATGTTTTTCCTTCTGCGGCATCAATAATACTTATTGTACAGTAACTTTTAGAGGTAGTTGGTAACCATACCCAAGGCTTCGGATGACATATGTCCGTGTTGTCCAAACTTGGCCACTTTAAGATGAGTGGACTTCAACTCCCAGAATTCCCCAGCCAGCATTAGAGTTTAAGGCCACCCATCTTTAAGTGGCCCAGTTTTGGCAACACGGGCATATGTCATTCTTG